CCCTGTTTCCCCGAAAATAAGACATCCTCCGAAAATAAGGCCTACTTACAGTTTTGCCTCTCGTTGTAATATAAGGCATCCCCCCGATAATAAGACCTCCCCGATAATAAGGCATCCACCGATAATAAGGCATTTTTCATTTCTGAAAAATAAGACATCCCCTGAAAATAAGACCTAGCGCATCTTTGGGAGCAAAAATTAATATAAGACACTGTCTTATTTTCGGGGAAACAGGGTAGTGTTTGGTTTTGGCGTCAAGAGAAGAGTCTCCATTTTGTGTTTTGTTGATCTATGTTAATATTTCTGAGAGGGATACTCAAGCTCTCCCACTCCCTAGAGTGCGTTGTTCTTCGGAATGTCTAGTAATGCTTTGGACTGTGGCTCATATTGTTTTTTAAGAAATGTGAAAACATGAAAACATTCATAAATACATTTTTGGCAATATATATTTCTGGTTCCAGTGTGAGATAGCCCTCAGGTTTTTTGCTGTCCAGTAATGGAAATCCTGTGTGTTTGGAATCTTTTTAAAGAAGGGATAGTTACTTAAACTATCAAATTTCACAGTATTACCATTCGCCCACCTCTTTTCCCTTCCAAATTTAGGTTTCCAATGTAAGTGATTTGTTATTTTTAAAGTTTAGATTATTTCCATTTTTGAGATGATTGTCGTGAGTTTTGGCAAATGTTCAATTTTGTGAGCTGTTGTTGCTTCAGCATTCAGGAACCGACTGAGGCGGTTATAGGGGGAACTGAGGCAGTGCCAATTCAACACTGGGGAAGGATTTGTGTCCAAGATTCCAGTGTATCAGATAGCCAAAGTTCTAAGAGCTAGAGGAGTTCCAGCTTGTTTCATGCTAGAGAGCTAAGACCCAAGACTGGAAATCCTATATGATGAGATCTTGTAAGAAAGCAGGATTATGCATAAGTAATTATCACTTTAAGTAAAATAATTTCCCGCAAAATATTTTGTAAGTGGTGATCTGTTTTGTTTGTTTTTAATATATAAAGGTGACACTCCAGTAATTGATAAACATGGGAAAAAAAGACCTTCAGTGATTCCTCATGCGGTAGTTGAAGAAGATGTGGGGTAATTTGCTTAAACATTTTATTTTTATTAAGGAAAAATTTCCACATAGATATTAATTACTGAAATTTAATATGCCTATTTTTCTCCTAGTAGATTCTAGTCAGATTTTTTTTAAAGACAGTAAAATCTATTAGTAATATATTGGTAAAGTGGGCCAGGCTACAGTTATGTTTTAAAAAAGGAAAACTTCTATGTTTTATATAGCAATGCCAACTTTTGAATAGCTGTAACTATCAGCTAAAAAGTTATTAATATTTGTTTTCTGGCTTCTCAAAATTCTTGCTTTCTCCCAAAGGTAGTTTGAGTTCCACCTAGACAATTTTATCATTTTGCTGAACCTCTTCCCCAATTCTTATTTTTCTTGAGAATGACAGTAATGCTTCAAAAATTAAATGTGCCCATTACTACCTGAAAAGATCCAATTATTTTTATAAGTAAAGTCAGCCTTTTGAGGCTTATGTTTGAAAATATACAGAGTTGGAATAAGTCTTAGTGATAGTAGATTCCAGTCTGTGAAGACTGGGGGATTGAGATAGAAACCAGTTTTTATATGGCACAAAGAAAATGGTACCCTACAGAAAAGATGCATGTAAACAAGAGAGATCTTCCTTTCCTGTTGCCCAGAATATCATGCCCTTATTTAATCTCTCTGCTATTTCCTCACTGCTACACATACCTATTTAATCTTCTAGGTTTTTCCTTAAAAGTGCTATACAAATCCATCCCAGTCTACATCTTGCACCCTGTCTTGTATCATCACCTCTGCTCTTCCAGTGATGCCAACAGTGATGGCACATTTATCTCTTCCCATGTCCCTCATCCTTATATATAGAATTCTCCTCCCAATGTTGGTTTACCAATTCACTCTCTTTTCCTCAAACATATCCCCTTACAGACTCAATACTCCCTTGTTGTCCCCAGGAAGTTAGTTAATAGAAAACTATAACTGAAAAATCATGCAAGTCTATCTCTGGATTTCCTGTTGCAGCCTATCTGTGTGTATTTCTCTTAGCTTGTAAATTCCTTAGCACATGTACTGCTGTCATTTTCTGTCTTATACAACAGTGACAATTTTGTCAGCAGTTACAAATAATAATACAATAGATAGATGTTAAAACTAGACAGTTAAACTTTGAGGTATATACAATGGATTTAATTCTATTGTCATTTGTTCAAAAATAGTCATATCAAGTTTTTGAAACACAATATTTTGTAGGGGTGAAGTACAGACTATGTTGGAACGATTTGGAGGTAAATATATTTTAAAATATTATTCATATAGTATTGAATTAAGAAATATTAATGTTTAAGTAACAACACTGGAAGTATATAGTCTAACTCTTGTTTATAACAATAGCTTTAATTAAAGTATCAAAGGTTTAATGTGAGAGGAAGAGTAAAATAATCACTTTTTATGGCATTGGATACAGCCACTTTCCAGCAGAAAGTGACAACTGACATGCATAAATGGAACAATACAAGATAAGGGCTAAAATGTAAACATAGTGAAGATGCAAGTATTCTTATAGACTAATGATCAAAGAAGAGAGAATGGAAGGATACATGAGTGGAGTTTAATACCAATCACAGTCTAAAGCAGAAAGGAAGATTTTAAAGATGAAGTATGACAAGAACTTAGGCAGTTATTTGGGGGAGAGCATTCCAGAGTGGCAGGGCAGTATGAGTGAAAAAGCTATCCCTTTCACCTTCCCCTTTTTGTCACAGTGAAGGCACAAACTGAAGATCAGGAATGTAGGAGGGGTGTAAGAAAACACGGACATAAATTTATTATCTAAATTAACACATTGTGTAACAAAGGGGCAAAAAGGAGTGGGAAGGAAGAGGACAGGAAAGAAAGGTCATGACAAGATGACATCTACTCAACAATTGGTTGAGTAATCATTTTATTTTTATATCATATATAAATAGATGTCTTAGAGAATAAATATATTTTGTATGTGGACCTCAAAGTAGGAGTGGATCTTATGGACCTCCCTTGTATACGAATTAACTATTTAAAAATGCCTAAGATTTCTTGCTTTGGAGGTAAATATAAGAATGCTCTGCTAGTCAGAGCAATCTAACAGGAAGATGACTTCTGTCTTTGAATAATTAAATAATAGGAAGTTAATGTCGTCTAATGTAGACTAAAGATGGGTAAAAGGATGAGATATAAAGTAATCAGAAAATGTGTTGAGAGAAAGAGATAATGCCATCTTCACAGAAATAATAGTTAAGAATGGAGCTAGCAATGAGACATCAGTCTGAGCCAAAATAGAGGGACAATAAGAGATCAGCTGATATAGCCTTGAAGTAATTTATAGCAGAAGGAACAAAGTGATTGTTACAGGCATGAAATTGGGTATACCTGTAATTTACTTAATACCCTTCCAAACAAATTTATATATGTCATAATAAAACAGTGATGTTTACGTAAACCATCCTTTTTTAAAGCTACTTAATGTGCTTGAAGAATGAGAATTGTTTACCACTTATATTCATATAAAAGATTTTGACAGTGTTGGTAGGCCCACACGTTTGCTACTTAAATCCAAGTAACTTTAATAAATATTTTTCCAAAACAATTTTAGTCGGTGCTTTTTCAATAAATAATATTTTTAAGTGTCAGCAGCTCAAGTCATATGAGCAATTTTTCAATTAAAAAACTTTGTGTGTGCGTCACTAATGCACAAGTTATATAAAAAAATGGTAATAGTAAAATATTTTGAAATTCCTAATAAAATGCATAATAGGTCTGTTGCAATACATGATACAATTTCTGACTATTATTTGTCTAAATACAGCTGACATTAACAAGGCTCTCTTGGCTAAGAGGAAAAGATTAGAAATGTATACTAAGGCTTCTCTTAAAACCAGTAACCAGAAAATTGAACATGTTTGGAAAACACAGCAAGAACAGAGGTAAGAGTTACAGTTATTGCTGGAAAAAATGTGTTTAATTTGTTTTTCTGGATCACAGAATCTATTGTCATAGCATCAGGGAATTGTGTCATATCTACTTGGGCGATAAGGGACATTCTACCCAAACATCTGGTTAGGTGTGTCTGCTTTGTTTAAATCAGCAGTTATAGAGTAACACATCTCATTTATTTTATGAAAGAGAAATTTGACATGAAAGTTTCTGAGCAAACACAAAATTTTGTTCCACTTTAAAACTGAAAAATTTCCAGTAGAAGTTTTCAGTAAGATTTTATTGTTTGGTTTAAAAAAAAGTCAAATGCTTTTTAAAAACTAAAAAGTATTACTCATAAGTTTTATTATGTACTGAAAACAAATCTTAGGTAACTTTTGGTTTTTTTTAAACTATTAATTCATTATTTTTCTCTCTCTCTGAGGCATGTTTAATTACTCACAGAGATAGGCATTAAAGGAAAAGGGAGGTGAAAAACGGTACTAGTAAAATATTTAAAATTCAGACACCTATAAAATATGTACCATATTCAAAATATTTATCAATATGATACGAAGGTTTTATTGGCACTCATTTGGAAGGACTAGCATAACTCATTCCTGGGGCTGGTCTACACTACTACTTAAGTTGATATAACTTACGTTGCTCAGGGGTATGAAAAAGATGTAGTTACATCAACATAAGTGCTGTACACACCGTGCGCTATGTTGGCAGGAGACACTCTCCCCCATGACATAGCTTCCACCTCTTGTTGAAGTGGAGAAATTATGCTGATAGGAAAGCACTCTCCTGTCAGCATAGCACGTCTTCACCAGACGCGCCACGGAAGTGCAGCTGTATTGATGTAACGTGGTAGTGTAGACTTGCCCCTGGTTTATCATCCATGAGTAATGTAGGTATTTTAAACTTGCATTGATAAAATATTGTACATGCACACACAATGTTTTAATTGCTAATTTATTTAAATTCCTGTGAATCAGTATAAACCTACCTTCTTGTTTTTATGCCAAAGATTCCACTGTGAGAGTGGCTAATGTAATTAAGAGCCCTATGTGGAATAGTAGGGTAGCTTTCCTAGTGCCTATCCTCCCCTTCTCCATGTTTGGGGGTGGTTCCTGGGGACCCAATTCCCCTACCCCCTTAGCAATGGACAGGGCGGGGAGGAGAGGTCCCAGTTTCGGTGGGGAGAGGGGAGGTGGGGAGAGAGAGGTACCAGTTTCTGTGGGGGCGGGGAGGGAGACAGAAGGGTCTCAGTAACTGTAACATGCACAGAAGTTCATCTAAAATGCATGGCAAGCATTCAAGGCTTTACGCCAGCCTCTCCCCCCCCACACACACCTGTATTTGGCTTTGCGCCTTTGGCACTTGCCGCTGGTCCAAGCAACCTCCCCAGTTTTTTTCATAAACATCCCTAAAAAACTCAGAACAAGTTGGATATTTCTGATAGTATTTGCTCTGATTTGGATATTGACCTGGTAGTTGTATTTAAATGCTCTCTGCCCCATACATAATTTTAAATGACATTAGTTTACCCATAAACAAATGTTTATGTTCTTAATTTTTCAAATTGATGCATAGAATCCTTTTAGGGTCATATTTCACCATTTTAATGAGCAAAAGTAACGTAGGTCTTTATTTTGTGCCATTCCCGACATATTGGTAGAAAAATTATGCAAGCCTCAGGTCTTCAACTTCAAGAAAATAGAACTTCCTCTTCCCACTTCCAAACCCTCCACCCAAAGAAACCCACATTTGGGCAATTCATTTTCTAATCCTATGTAAACAGTATTATTTATAAACAGAACGTTTTAAAGTTTTTCTTCTGGAAATAGTGGCTCTACAATTATAATGACCATGCCAACTGAGACATGTTTCTCCTCCTGTAAAATGGGGATGATAATATATAGCACTTTTCGTAAGTGATCAGTTAACGCTAGATGTTATTGTGATGTATTTATAGGCAGAAGCTCAACCAGGAGTATTCCCAGCAGTTCCTGACTTTATTTCAACAATGGGATATGGACGTGCAGAAAGCAGAGGAACAGGAAGAAAAACTAGCGGTTTGTTTCTAGCCTGGCAACTGTTTGATACATTTGTTTTTTAATACATTCACAAGTGCTAATTGTTCTTGTTAGACACCAACCTCCCACAGGCATAAACACACTTTAGGTGAATTTCAGACAAAACATATGGTGTTGGGGACTGCCTGTGTCTTAAAGTTTTCTTTTGTTTTTTTAGGACTTCCCAAGTGTAAAATGTTTATAAATTATCAGATGTATTGCAAACTGAAGAGGTGATAAAGACTATCTGATGTTGTAGTGTCTCTCCCTAGCCTTATCAATATAGAGGTAAATGCTCCTCGTGTGCAGGAGCCACATGCTGACCCAGTGCAGAGATGCAGGATTCCCATGAAGATCAGAGCAGATCCTAAATGTCCCACTATATATGGGCAAGTTTCCACCCGTATCACTAGAGACTGTGGGGTAGGGTAAGAGAGACTGGGACATTATGCTTGGGATGGAAATAGGGAAGCGATGCCAAGTCTGTGTAGGGTAGGATGACATTGGGGAATTACAGCATCTACACCTGATCCTGTTCACAAGGAACAGAGAGCAAGGGCAGTCACCCTAATAATGGGGTAAGGAAGCTATATAATGGTAGAGGGGCACAATTACTCTGGGAGCACATTGCACTAGTTCAGATTACTTGGAAGAAATTGTCTTCCTCTTCTGTTTGCAAGTTGTGCTGTCCCCTGACAGCAACATAGGTCTAGAGAATGGATTTGGACAGCATATCCCCATTCTCTACCAGAGATCCATGTTATAGATTCTAGAATGTGGATTTCCAGTGAAGGGGGAACTTACACTTTTGAACCCTGCCAGCATCGACCTAACTACTGCTTGTCAATTAACATGATTCTTCTTTGTGCTTTAGAATATGTTTCGCCAGCAACAGAAGGTTTTTCAACAAGCAAGAATAGTTCAGAGTCAGAGACTGAAAACAATTAAACAACTGTATGAGCAGTTCTTAAAGGTCCAGTATATATACCTTTTTTAAAGCTAGACCATGATTTGGTTAGAGGGATTCTTAATGACTCCATAGGTAAGGCTGCATTGAAATTTACAGTTAAATAGGGTTAAAATTCCCTATATTTTACAATAATTATTGAATTAAAATCCATTTAAGGATGATACTAGTAAGAGAGCCTTACACATGGTTCCTTTAATTAATCAAGAATGTTTGTGTAGTGGTATTTTGGAGCCTGCAAGGATAGTTCAATTTTCCATGAAGGTCTTGTCTAAACACCCAAGTTGTACTCACATAACTAAAATCTGTTTTAAAAAGTGATTTAATTAAGCCAGTCAAACCCCTGGGTGAGCACACACATCTGATTAAAACTGTTTGTACATCTGCAAGGTAAACAGATATATTTACCAGTGCAAGCTAAACTGATAAATCAGATTGAAATCAAATTAAGAGTAACCACAACTTTAGTTCAACTAATGTGTCTTTGTGTGAAAACTAGGCGTTAGATTAATGTTATGAAAACTTCTTCTTTTAAATAAAATAGTGAAATATTTCACACTATTTGAAAATAAAGCATAAGCCAAAATTTAGCATTTGTTATGCTTGTGTTAGAGGTAGTGGTCTCAGTAAGAGTGAATGGCTACCATAGAATAGTGACCCATTGTCAGTAATCTTTTTACAAATAGCTATTTGTAGAAAGATAAATGCTCATTTTAAATAAATTAAAATAAAATTGAAATAGTTTTTATGATAAGAAGTTATGCTTCATTCCCACTACAGGACAGTGGGTAATACTTTTAATAATCCAATATTAAAACTGAGTATGCAGTTTGATGCCAGCAACAAAAGTCAGTCCAAAATAGGGATCTGCTGTGAAAGTGGGCCCAACTGGGGCAGTTAATATTCACTTCAGTTTAACTGACTTTCTTGGGTTTTGTTGGTTTACTATGTATTTTGATATTATATTGAAAGCGTGGTACACACTTTATAATCATACCCTTAACATAAATGGTTAATAAATGATTAACATTACAGACATAAGTAATATGTATAATAGATTATGGACTCTTAACAATTGATTATCTAAGTTATTAAAACATTCACGTGTTAACCCTTCCTATACAATTTATAGATGTACTCTTACTGTAAAGTGATCACTACTTATTTTAAAATAAGATAGATCTGCTAACTTTTGAATGAAGAAGAGTCTATATTGTATCTTTACCTTCTTCCCTGTCTCAGAAGCCAGGTGAACATAGCTCTGGAATATAGGTGAGATGAATAATATAAATAGTATCTCTCTAGTTTAAACCAAGTATGTGGTTTTTTAATCAAAGCTGATTTAAGAATAGGTCCATCTGTTTCCAAGATACCACTGTTCTACATTTCCCTGAGCTCTGGTATAGAAAACAGTTTAACTGCTACCATAGACAATTAAAAAAAAAAAAAGGTTGTCAGCAGTACTGGAGTCTGTGTTCCTGCATTTTCTGTGGTCAGCAATAGGTTAGTTTCATAGTTAGCTGGACATGAAGAATCTGGTTATGTTAAAAAGTTACTATATAGTGTATTAGTTTTACACTAATTTCCAAGTTAATAACCATTCTGAAAAAAATTAGACATAGCTACCAAAAAAGAGAGAGAAAAAATGAAATTTAATTTGGAGTAGACCTACTCAACAAAATGAAAAAAGTTTAATTGTTTTAAATTTGAAAGGTGTGTTTTTTTGTGTGGGGTTTGAAATGACATTTGGGGGTTTGAGGGTTTGTTTCATTTTTTGTTTGTTTGTAGAAAAACAAATTTCATGTTTTCCCCCTCTGAGTGCAGTAAAATGAATAATGCCCCTCCCCCATCCCCTTTGACTTTTAAAATGTTAAGGAAGATTTTAAGTGGTAGAGTAGAAAAGGGAGTGAGGGGAAAAAACAAACTGAAGCGAAAATTTGTTTTGTTTCAAAGTTTCACATCAAAATTGAAGTTTTGTTAAATGACATTTTCCCACAAAACCTCATTTTTTGGCAGGAAAACTTTTCTGTCAATTTCAATCAAGTCTAGTTTAGAGTAGGTTTCAAATCTCACAGTTAGTATGAAAGCAAAACAGGTGCTCTCATACCCTGTTGCTAAAACAGAAACCAAAACTAAAACCTAGTTACCTATCATCTTAATATTAGATGAACACATTTAAAATAAAAGCGTATTTAACCATACCTTAGTACTTTCAAACTTTCAGTTAATATGTCATAGAAAAGCAATATTAAAATTAGAAAGACAAATTACAGTTACTACTTAAGATGCAAAGTGAATGGAATAAAAGATTGTGGTAGTGCTTGAACTTCCAAATAAAATCAGGACTCAAATCCTGCACACCTTTACACACAAGCTTAACTTCATGCTTTTGAGAGGCCCCACTTATCTTGATGGGACAACTAACGTTTAAAGTTAGGCACAATATTAAGCATTTGCAGGATTACAGGTCCCAAACAGTACGCGAAAGTGGTGCAGGGCAGGGCATTTAAGTTATGAATACAGGAGGAGGAAAAGAGGAATATATCTCAGGCCTGATTATCAGAGGCACTTTACACCTGTAGCTCTCATTGGCTTCTGTTAGAACTGTTAGTGTTCAGCATGTAGTTGTTTTCTTAAAACACCACTGTTACAAGATGCCCTTTTCAGCTGTTACTCAGTTTCATGCTCTACTCTCACCAAGTCAACTTTATGCAGTACCCTTTTAACCCACTAGAAGACAAGTAAGATATTTTGCATGGTGTTGGCAGTCTAATCAACAGTCAGTATATTGTTGTAAACTGGAAATTCCAGTTGTGGGATAACTCTAGAACAGAGGTTCCCAAAGTGGGCGATACCGCCCCCTGGGGGGCGCTGGAACGATCCAGGGGGGCAGTAGTCGCCTTGGGTGCAATTGGGGGGCGTTGAATAAAAATAAGGGGGCGGTGGAAGCATAAAGAGAATATAAGAAAATTTTGAAAAAACGTTCGCACATGTTTCATCTGTTGTGTAACATAGAGTTAAAGTTATAGTGATTACTTTATTTTCCAAATAAATTCACAAATTATCACCGATCAGGTGTTAA